GTGTCCCAGAGCCTCGCGGTACACCGAGCCGGGGCCGCGGGGCAGCCCCCGGGAAGCTCAGTGCACAGCCACAGTGTCCTGAGCTGGGAGGGACCCGCAGGGAGCATCGCACCCGGCACAGCTCATCCCTGGGATCACTCCGTGTGTCTGAGAGCCTTGGCCAAATCTGTCAGGCTTGGGGCTGTGATCGTTTCTCTGGGGGGCTGTTCAGTGCCCAAACACCCTCTGGGTGAAAAACCATTTCCTAATATACAGCCTAAACCTGCCCTGACACAACTTCAGACCATTCCCTCGGGTCCTGTCACTGGTTGCCAGAAGGAAGAAGTCAGTGCTTCCCCTCCACTTCCTTGCATGAAGAAATTGTATACACTGACAGGGTCTCCCCTCAGTCTCCTCCAGGCTAAACAGACCAAGCGACCTCCTGTCCCACTGTATAACCTCACCTGATAATAAGACAAACAAGTCTATTTCACCTGACTTAAAAAACCCAGAAAATTTTATGATTTATGATTTTATGATATAAAGGCCATTGGGGAAATACATGCACAAAGTGTGTGCTGACCAGCAGAAGGACAAGTTGTTGCTTAGCCTGTGACTGAAGTGCATTTATTGTTAAATAAATTACAGTTTTGCTTCTTTCAGGTGCGTGTGAGCCATGTGTGCAGCCAGTACAGCACGTCAGGTTCTTTGCCAGAGGACAAGAAGGAGTTTCTGCAGAATGGCCCAGACTTGCAGGCCTTTGTCTCTGGAGACCTGTCAGACAGGAGCACATGGGCTGAGTATAAAGGCAACTTAAAGCGTGAGAAAGGAGAGAGGTAATTGTGGCTTTAAACAACCACAGTGGCTTCCATGCACCATCTGATATATTCAGTAATACCTAACAAAATGATACTGTGTATTTTATGAGATCCTGCCCTACTGGCCTCCAAAGTTAATGATTTTTCAAGAAAGAATAGACAAGTTTTTAACTTCAAATGCATAACAAAGCGTGGAGACCTGGTGGTGTTTTCTCACCTGAGTGCCTGTATTGAGTTACAGGTGAATGTACCCTACTATGGTGTTGAAAAAATGCTACTGATAGAGTAAGATAAAGGCCAAATTAAAAACTGCTTAAAGCCCCATATTTCCAGTTACACAGTTGGTCAGACTTTGTGATGGCTGTGTAACATCCATTGCCATTAATTACACAGTGAAATCCCATTGGAACAGTGAACAGTTTTAAACCCTTCAGTGACAGCAAACTTCTGTGCCAGTGTTGGGATGTTCATAAACATGGAAGAGAGAAGTCCATTATGACCATGAATAATCTTAACATTAGTTGCTGAGTTGCTTCAGTTTTCAATGGACCTTTCCTTGTTGGGATCCATAACAGTTTCAAGTGATCTATATAGTGAGTGGAATCTTACCATCTAAGTAGCTAACTGATCTCTTACGTTTGCTTGGTGTTATTCAGGCTGCGACTTCCTCCATGGCTGAAAACAAAGATCCCCATGGGCAAAAACTACAACAAGCTCAAGAATACCTTGAGGAGTTTAAATCTCCATACGGTAAATCTGGCACTAGCCAAGTTCCCCTGGAGAAATAAGGCATTTTTTACACTGGTTTTCTCTCTGTGAAGGACAGGTAGAAATCATGTTTTGCACAATCCTCAGTGCTGAAATCAAGCCCAGTGCTGATCCTTTGTGCCAGCAGTGAATTTTAGCCCTAAAGAATGAAGAAAAGTACAAAAGAGTATTTCATGTTTTTCCCTGCTGTGATGTTAAGTACTGGAGTTCAATGCTTGCATCACCAGGGATCAGAAGATGCCATGTGCAGCTGTTTGTAATGGAAACACACACGATTTCATAGTTACATACATGTTTTGCATAAAAAGAAACTGCACAAATGTATGTATTTCATCAGTTGTACCTTCCAGAGGGTAAGAAGTGCAGGGAGGGGCTTTTTTCTTTCTTTTTTTTTTTCCCCTTAGACTAATATGCTTAAATGAATTACAGACTTTGTGAGCATTATATCAGTTTTTAAATTTAAAATGCTAATGACAGTGTGTGCTAATTTATAAGGCAATTCCATGCTTGAGGAGTTTTTGCAGTTGTGGAAAAGATGGAAGTCAGGAAGGAATTATCTCCCTATCTGTCATACTGACTTGCTATGGAACCACACGTAACTGTTAACCTCACATCACAGAAGGAGTTATGCTTTGTTGTAGGCTACTATTGAAATTATCAGTAATAATATGGGAAAACCCATGTACAGCAGAGCCTTTCTCCCTCAGGTGTGTGAAGAAGCACGTTGTCCCAACATTGGGGAGTGCTGGGGAGGTGGTGAATATGCCACAGCTACAGCTACCATTATGGTAAGCCATTACCCATTCCTTATGTGTTCTGTTAATGTCTGAGCTGTTTGTGATGCGTTGTTGGATCTCTGCTGCAGTGGAGTGGGTTTGTTACAATAAATCCAGAGCAAAACACTGCCCCAGTTCTGTTGCTCAGTGTTGGGATTTATCTGATGTAGCTTATGCAGCTGTTTCTGAGCTGAGCCAGGTAAAGGCAGGACTGTCTTTCTTGTTGCAGCTGATGGGTGACACATGCACTAGAGGCTGCAGATTTTGCTCAGTAAAGACAGCAAAAAATCCACCTCCACTGGATCCCCAGGAGCCTTTCAACACAGCCAAGGCTATTGCCGAGTGGGGCTTGGACTATGTGGTACTGACATCTGTGGACAGAGACGGTGCGTGGGCTTTGCTGCTTCTGCCTGAGCTCTCCCCTGCACCCTGTGGGGTGAGCACAGACCTCCACAGACCTCCTGTGTGTCAGCACAGGTGTCCACAAGGGCTGGTTTAGAAGAGCTGACAGTGCTGAAACTTTGGAAAGTTTCTAGATAGAAAGTATTTCTCCGTGTCTGGTAAAATACAGCAGCAGTTACACTGTTACTAAATCATAGAATCATAGAGGTTTAGGGGTTGGAATGGACATTATAGATCACCTAGTCCCAGCCCTCCCTGCCATGGGCAGGGACACCTCCCCCCTAGATCAGGATGCTCAAGGCCTCATCCAACCTGGCCTTGAACACTGCCAGGGTTGAGGCATCCACCACTTCCCTGGCCAGCCTGTTCCAGTGTCTCACCACCCTCACAGGAAAAAAACTTTTCCTAATATCTAACCTAAATTTCCTCTCCTTCAATTTGAACCCATTACCCTTTGTCCTGTCATTGCAGGTCCTAACAGAGTCCCTCTCTGGCTCCCTTGTAGCCCCTTCAGATAGTGGAAGGTTGCTATGAGGTCTCCATGCAACCTTCTCTTCCAGGCTGAACAGCCCCAACTTCCTCAGCCTGTCAAACAAAAATTAAGCATCAAGAATATTACAATACTACGTATTTTATAACTAGTTTTTTTTGCAAAATGCATACATGTATGCCATGTGCTATTAGTTGATTAGCAAAACAAAAAAACAGCCACAAACATTCATATACAAATACCATTACAGAACCTCCTGCTAAACACTAAACCTAGAATACATTATAGATAATAAAACTGAAAGTTGCTTTTTTCTAAGGTTGTAGTGACACCATAGAGGTGGGGAAAGCCATTGTAAAGACTGCTCAGAAGGGTGGGAAGGCCAAAGGGACTGGCAGCAAAAGAGCAGTAATACATACTTTTCAATTTTGGTACAACTGTTTCTCAGACCAAAACCATAAATAGATAAAGCCATTTCATGCTCAGGCTGACAGTGCACCTGGAGACAGGTAAATCTGAAGACAGTCACAGGCTCTGTGCAGAGCAAGGCTTGGTAGGATATCTTTTGCAAACCTTTGGCATGAGCAGTGAGATAAGACTGGGAGTTGACTGCTTTATTATTTCACATTTCAGTTTGAATCCATGTGAGTTTTGTGGCTTTGCTAATAAGTGAAGACATTTCTTGGACAGAAAGGTTAACTGAATAATTGAAATGCTTCTAGATATGCCTGATGGTGGAGCAGAACACTTTGCAAGGACAGTCTCGCATCTGAAGGAAAGGTGTGTTACTATGTTATTGTTACAGCCTCAGAGTGTGGTACTGTGTGGGGGTCAGAGCTGCCTTTAGCTGGGCTGTGCCAGGGCCATGCAGATCCCAAACTCTGCCTTTAGCCTGTCTGTGTCCCCTTTGTTATTCCTGTTCTTCATCTTCTCACACAATGGCCCCAAACCATTTTGCATTTGGATGCATTTCCAGTTCATCCCAGGCTTATTTAAAGCCAAGCACTGGGTTCTTGGGGCAGGCAGCTGGTTTGGCAAGAAATGAGTACATTCTTTAGAGGGATGTTCCTTCCTGAAGCTTGGGGCTCAGACACAGCAGGTTTAGGTGACACTGTCTCCACACATGACTGAGGGATCTGGTTCCTCTTTCAGCAGTGATCAAATTGCTGTTTATTCTCCCACGATGGCCCCTCCAAGTCTGTGACTGTCCCTTCCTGCTTTCCCTGGCTCTGTTGCCTTCACCCTGTGTCAGTGCCCTGTGCACCATGTGGTAGTATACTCGTCTACATGCAGAGTTCATTCATAACCTCCTTCAAGTCTTTATCCAGTGTATCCTTGGCACTCAGCAGGTTCCTACAGTTTTCCCCACCTGCCTTTCTGAGCTGGAATCAGGATTTGGGCACCAAGATTAGATTGCAGGACAGCAACTCAAAGTCATCTTATCCAGTAGGCAGGATCAGAGCTCCTCTGTATTTTGGAGCTGTGATCTTAACCTCGTGTTAAATTCACCTGCAACAAAGACAGGTGAACAATCACATGTAAGCAGTGCATGTGGTTGGTTTAGGGACTGTTGGAATTGCTCTTGTATTTGTTATTTGGCTTTTGATGCATTTCAGCTCACGTCAGTGAAATCAGGGATTGTTTGAATTGTTACACAAGTGTTTGCAGACATCTGTTGGTTTAGAATTGTATCCTCGATTAACTCTGCCTTGCTTACCAGAGTGTCATGTATGTAGTTATGTTTGGCTTTGTGTTATCTTGAGGTTTTGTAGCAGCAGGGACACAAAACCCCACGGATGCGTTCATTTTGCCTCTCCTCAGAAACTCGAAAATCCTGGTGGAATGCCTCACTCCCGATTTCCGAGGGGACCTTAAAGCCGTGGAGAAAGTCGCGCGGTCGGGGCTGGATGTTTATGCTCACAACGTGGAGACGGTCCCAGAGCTCCAGAGGTGGGGAACAGCGGCGTGTGTGAAGTGTCATCGGGCGAGGGGGTGTGAAAGGACTGTCTGCAGCTGCGCTGAGGCTGTCGGTGCGGGATGGGGAGGGATGCGGGAGGGATGGGGAGGGACGAGGAGGGATGGGGAGGGATGCGGAAGGGATGGGGCGGGACGAGGAGGGATGGAGAGGGATGGGGA